TTTTTGGCTCTGTACATTTCAAACCTATTTCTCTGTCACTATCCAAACATTTCCAGGGGCAAGGCTGTAGGACACATTCATACCATGATCATACCAATCTTTAGCCCTGTACCCTTGTGTCTGAAGCTGGGTGTGTCGGCACAGAGGGCAATAGGAGGATTCTTGGAAGCCGTCCCTCCAGTGGAGAGTAGCCATAGCTTAAGCTAGACATGGAAATGACTGCAAGTCCATAAATCTATATCTTCAAACCCTAACAAAATGTATTCCCAATTCACTTTCACTTTAGCCAGCTCCCAAAATGCTTTTGACCACTTGGATAATACTCAGTACAAGGAGAAGCATGATTGAGAGATGGAGTGGGAAAATTAGCCACTCCAACAGATCTTAATTAAAATATTTTACTTTTGCACGTGTAATCATGTGACTATATTGCTAGGGTCCTGCCTAGCGTCTGAAAAGGGAAAAAATTAGAGGCCGCAAAACTCAAGTTTTTTTTTGTTTTTTTTTCATGGTAAACCACTTCTGGTTTATCTGTACCTTATGTTGAGTTTTCATATCAATATCAATCTTTAAGGCAAAAAATTGTATACAGTAAAAAAACTTATCTATATGGTCCAAAATGTCTAATACAATGAGTTTTTCCTCAAGCCATGAATCAGATCACTTTATATTTTTGTTCATTTCCAGATGAAGCATTGGAAGTGTCTACGATGTCTTGCTTTCAAACAGGAAGGCTAGATATTGTAATGAAAAAAATTCTCACTAAATTAATTGACAAATCTTACCTCATAACAATTAAAAATAACAACCAGAAGTTCTTGAAATGAATAGTACGGCTCTAAAGTCTTATGAAAGTATAAATGGCAAGAATAACAAGAAAAATTCAGGAAATAAGTGGAGGGACTACCCCTACCAAATAGTAAAATATATTATAAAAAGTTACATTAATTAAAATTGTTTGGTAGTAACTCATGAATGAATGGGCAGAACAGAACAGAGTCCCGAAATAGACCCTGATATAATAACAATTAGAGTATATCGTAGACATGGTCTTTCGAAGTAAGGGAGAAAATCGTGAATTATTCAATGAATAGTGTCAGGACAATCAGCTAACTCAAACACTAAAATAAATTCCAGATAGACTGCAAGATAAAAGGTGTGAAATTAAAATTGAAACCACAACAGCAGAAAGCTTGGGGAGATCTTTTTAATTAAAAATATCTTTAAATTACAAAATTGTTTTAAAATTTATTTTTGGCTGCATTAGGTCTTCGTTGCTGCACGTGGGCTTTCCTTAGTTGTGTCGAGCAGGGGCTACTCTTCGTTGCGGTGCGCGGGCTTCTCATTGTGGTCGCTTCTCTTGTTGCAGAGCTCAGACTCTAGATGCACGGGCTTCAGTAGTTGTGGCACGTGGCTTCAGTAGTTGTGGCTCTAGAGCACAGGCTCAGTATTTGTGGTGCATGGGCTTAGTTGCTCCGCGGCATGTGGGATCTTCCTGGACCAGGGCTTGAACCCATGTCCCCTGCATTGGCAGGCGGATTCTTAACCACTGAGCCACCAGGGAAGCCCCAAACACTTTGAAAAGAAAAAAATACCATGAACAATATCTGAAGGAAAAAAACGACAAACTGAAAAAAAAAACAAAACATTTTTAATGTGGATTGAAAGACATTTTCTTAATATATAAAATTTTAAATCAATCAATAAGAAAAAGACTAATAAAACACATGGCTTCTTAGAACTACTGAGCCTCACATAGCACATTATAAACTTTTTTTTTCTAATTTTAAAGATTAGCTTTACTGAGATATAATTACATAAAATAAAATTCGCCAATTTCAAGTGTAAAATTTGGTGAGTTTTGACAAATGTATATGGTTGGTAATTACCATCACAATCAGGATATAGAATTTTTTCATCATCCAAAAGTTCCCTCTTGCCCTTTTGCAGTCAATTCCCTTCCCCCATTCCTGGCATCTGGGCAACACTGACGTATTTTCTGTTACTATTGATAGTTCAGGTACAAGCAGCTAGAATTTGTAGAGCAAAAGGTTTTGTCTTGACTGGAATTTCGTATAAATGGTTGAAAGTGGAAGTGTCTTTTTCCTATTTTCAACTTTAGAAATCCTAGGGGAGAACTTTGGTCTAGCTTATGTCCAGTGCTCACCCATGGCCAATCGAGGTAGTAAGGACCTGTGAGAAAATGACACTTAAAATATTCGAAAATTGGGCTTCCCTGGTGGCGCAGTGGTTGAGAGTCCGCCTGCTGATGCAGGGGACGCGGGTTCGTGCCCCGGTCCGGGAAGATCCCACATGCCGCAGAGCGGCTGGGCCCGTGAGCCATGGCCGCTGGGCCTGCGCGTCCGGAGCCTGTGCTCCGCAACGGGAGAGGCCACAACAGTGAGAGGCCCGCGTACTGCAGAAAAAAAAAAGAAAAATTGGAAAATTAACACAACGTTATAAATCAACTATACTTCAGTTAAACAAACAAAGAAAAAAGAGATTGGAGTATGGGTAGAACCATTCCCCAATGCAAAATGGAGAGATCTTCCCAGAAGAAAGGGGAAGGTTACAGGGTGGAAACGGATCATAAGCACCCGCGTGAACAGCAGTTCACGTGAAAAATAACTTAAAGTGAACCAGCTGATACGGCTTTAGGAGTTGCATTGTCTAGAAGGCTGTATCCATTCCCTGGCCTGATGTTTTCCAGGGTCAAGGACAAACTGGAAGGGGTCTGTGATGGAGAGATGTAATATGTGTAACAGTTACCCTGAAAGACATAGAATGAAATAGAAAAGCAACTTTCTTCTCTCTGTTCTTTTCCCTTCTGTGCCCGTCAATGCTTCGCACTGTTGAACATGTTCTTTCCACAACCCTTGAGTGAAATCTGGTTGGTCCCACTAGTTTTCTGGTCCTCTTCAGATAACAGAAAGACTTCCAGATATTTTAATCCCATGAACGGTCTCATTTCATTCATGAAAATGTCCAGTTGTGAGCAATAGACAAACCCAAGAATTTCATTAATAGGAATGGGGGCATCTCCAGCACAGAACTAGCACGTGACCAGTTTCTCCTCTAATTTCCCACCCAAAGGCTTTCTTTGAACCACAGTTTCCCCCTCCCCCAATTCCCCCCCACCTAGCATCACTGACAGCATTTTCTGACCTGGGGCTGGGGGGAAGGGATGGAAGAAGGTCCTGTTTGATCGGTACTGTCCTGATCTGCCTAGTAGGTATTCAAAGCTTTTTCTTGTCGGGTACTGTTTCCACCATATTACCTTGGGGAAGGTATGGTGAGGCTGGATCGGGAGAGAGGAGGCAGAAGCTTTTACAGTTTTGTCTTGCTCACGGCTCCCTGGACAGAACACAGCATGCCACGTAGGGCCACTCACTGTAAACACTGGGGTGGCTTACGAGGCAGACAGACAGAGGGAAATTGTGGTTTCTGCGGGAAGGAAAAAGCAAGGCAGGATAAACAGGTTCAGGATTGGCTAATTTGAATAATTTCAGTGGGCTCAAGGGCGTAGGAGCTGTCCCCGGCCATCTGGTACCCGGCCCTGGGGTGATAAGCCAGGCGTATGGTGGCCTGTGTGAGAGGCTGATAAAGCAGGTGGTGGGGTGTGGACTTATTTGGCCGCCTAAGAAGGGGAACTGACCGGTCCCTGATGGGCCTCAAAACTGGGTCAAAACAGCATTAACAACAACAACAACAACTGTATTACGTATTTTATGGGTTCTTTGGAGACCCCTTATCACAGAGGATGTTCTGTCTGCTGTCCCTTTATTGTGGGCAAGATCTTTCTTCAGCCTGTATCACACCCACTCTCTCTCTACTACCTCTGAAGGTACATTTCCAGCCTCTTTCCGCCCAGGTCTGAGGTCTCCTTGCCTGTGCTAGGAAGCTGTCTTGGGCAGGGTTCCTTTAAAGAAGGCTTCGAGCTAGCTCTTTCCTGTGCCTCTCGCGTCTGACACTGAATTATACATGACACAGCATTAGCAAAGGAGGAGAGTGCTCTGAGAGGGCACCATGGAGGTGGTGAGGAAGGCAGCAACCAAGGCCAGGGGCAGTGGACAAAAGTTTTTCAAGAGCACAAGGAAACAATGTACCAGGCAGCACTTATATAATAAGGGCCAGGATTAGGGTGTGGAGAGTGAGGCACTCTCCTCGGTGGCAAAATGTAAGGGAGTGCCACAAAATGCAGCAATCAAGATAAATCACATTCGATGCAATATTTTAAAAAACACATTAAAAACGGGCATAGGATGCACATTTTCCCTTTTGCTTAAGGCTCTAAAATGGCTCCGCAGGGCACCGGCACTAGGCAATTCCAGCTTCTAGCTTCCTCCCAGCCAGATCGTACCCCTGAGTCACTTTGATACAGAAATGCTGAGCAGCCATCTAGGAAGGGCTTTCCTTAGGCAATAAACTTTATCTGAGGCATGGAGTGAATGAACAGGGGAGAGGGAACAGCGCTTCTCCAGGTCCAAAATTCCTGAAGTGAAAAGGGCTAGAGGGGTATCTGGGGCATGGTGGTGGCAATGAGTTTGCAGGCAGGGACAGGATCTTGTAGGGACTCTTTAGAATTTTAACTAGGGGAGACACAGGCCCAGATTTGTTTCTTATGCAGATAATGCCTTGTGGGGGACAACTGGAGGGGTCATATCTGGCTACAGTGAAGTCCCTTATTAGGCTATCGCAGTATCCGTATCAGAGCGAGGGATGACTGTATCTGAATCAGAACAGGTGGAGACAGATTCCCAAGATCCAGGCCTCAGTTTCCCCACTGGAGCACAGATGGTGGGGCGGCCCCCGGGTCTCTGCCTTGCCAACTGGACCACCTCAGGGTCCCCTGTGAGCGGCGGGGGCACCGGGGCGCGCAGAGGAACCTCCCGAATTCAGCCTGGGGCCCGGGGCAAGCGGGGCGGGGCGGGCCCCGCCGGTGCCCGAACGGCTCGCCGCCCAATCGCCGCGGGCCCGCCGTGCCCCGGGGGGCTGGGGCAGCCGCCGCCGCCGGAACGTGCCGCGGCTGCGCCGACGCGCCAGCGCCGGGCAGGGCGGCGGGCGCGTTCAGTCTGGCGGCGGCGGCCGTGCGCGGACAGACGTGCCCGGAGCGCCGCAGCCGCCAGCATCCGAGACGCGCCGCGCCGCCGGGCCGCGCCCGCCCGCCCCCCGCCATGGTGGCGTGGATCATCTCCAGGCTGGTGGTGTAAGTGGCCTTCTTCCCCGCGTCCCTTCCTTCCTTCCCCTCCTTCTCCGGCCCCCGGCCCCCGGGCTGCGCGTGCCCCTGCAGCGCCCGCCCCGGTCGTTCCGGCTATTAATACCCGGCGGCCGCTAAATTTAGCAGGTACAGTAGGTGCCGAGGTCGCGGGCGAGCGGGCGGCACTGAACGCGGCTGCTGCCCTGCGGGGCCCGGCCCGGGCGCGGGGGCCCGGCGGGCGGGGCCGCGAGGGCTGGGGGCGCACGGGGCTTCGCTGGGGTCCGCGTCGAGCCGCGCCCGGCCGCTTTGTTCCCCCGCTTGGTGGGCTTGGCCGAGGCCCCGAGTGAGTGCGCCGCGGGGACACGTGTCCCTCTCCTTGGGAAGAAATGTTGGCCTGGGGTCGCCCGTTGCCGCGCCCCGCCGCCACGCTTTTGTCAGGTGAAAATGACAGAGCCCAGAAGAGCCTGGGGCGCTGCCTGGAGGGATCGGCGCGGAGAAGGGCGGAGAGCTGGAGGCAGGGCTCCTAAGGGGGTTGAAAAATACTCCTCCTTTTTAGGGTTCTCAAATGGACAGCGGCCTAGGCAAGTAGGACGGAGGAGGACAGACCCGAATCTTGGGGTAGCCGCCCCGCGTCCCCTTGTCTGATTCCTTGGGCGGGGCGTTTGAAGGAGAGATAGAGACGGGCATCTCCGGGAATTCACGGGAAATTTCCAAGTGACAGACTGACGGTGGCGATGACACCTGCCAGGCCTTGCGGGAGAGCGCAGAGTCATCTGGGGTGAGGCCTTGTGTGAAGCCATTGCGGGTGGGCGCGGGGGCGTTTTGCTCTGTCAAGCCCCAGAGCCGAGTGGACCTTTGAAGAGCTCCTTCCCTCGTGGATTTGTTCTCCTTTGGAGGTAGACATGGCCATCTATTCCAGTCCCCCTCCTTTCCTAACCATCCTTGCCTGAGTCAGGACAGATTTGCCACCTGCTTGGGGAGCCGGGGTGAAATTGTTCTGGGGTGTGGGAGCCGGTGGTACCATTCCGGCTTTTTCTTTGTCTGAGGAAGAGGGGCTCCCGACTCTGGTTGATTGTGCGCCATCACTCCCCACGTTTGGGAACACCTCCCATCTCCTACCCTTCTTGCCTGATTTTCAAAGAAGCCGGTCAGGGTAGCCTTCTGAAACCATTCTCAGCATTGTCTCCTGGCCACCATTATGAGCTTTCTTCCCAAGGCCAGTGTATGTCCCTCTCGGCCCCCAAGTCATTCATTCCTTGCTGGCCTCTCCACAGCTGTTGCCACCTGCTGGGGATTTGTGCTGTACCTAGAGGAAGCATGTTAAATGTTTGGAAGATTCCTGCGGGCAGAGGTGGCATGAATAACCCAGGGAAGTGGCTGGCACGGCTGGCCCCGCCTCATGCCTGATCAAGGCCTGTCTTGCCTTCCGGGTGGTATTTTTTTTCTCCTGAAGTAGTGCCGTGATTGTCAGATTTGCAGGTGGCTTCTGGGGGGTGGGGGTGGGGGTGGCCTCAGGGTGGGCCAGAGAGTTGAGTTGGCCAGGCTGGAGGACTCACTCCCTATAGGTCCTCCTGGGCTGGGGCTGGAACACTGAGCAGCCAGGGTTTCTGGTCTGGGGTCCATGTGACCGTCTTTAATTTTATTAGCACCCACCCCCTGTATACTAGACAACTAAGAGGGGTGAAGGGGAGAAACATATGTTTGGGTGGGGTCTCAGGGACTAGCAGTTAACTTTCTAAAACAACCACACTCCCCAGAAGTGAAGAATTGCATTTCAGAGAATTTAAATGGCCGTGAGAACTGCCCCTCAGGTCAGCCCAGGACCCTGTGCTCCAAGGGAGAATTTGTGAGATTTGGGGTTGTTATTCCCACTATCAACTCCAAAAGGTCAGAGATAGGACCTATCCCTTCAGCCCCTAATTCTGTATAGAAACCCAACATGGATGTGTCAGTTGTGAGTTGTTAAAACCATTTTAATAGGCAGCACCTGTTTTGCGTAAATCATACCTGTTCACTATAGGAAAATTAGAAAATGTAGGTCCATAGATGGAAACTCATCTGCACTATTCCCATGCAGAGATAGCTAAGGAAAAATCTGAGAAGTATATTCGTCAAGCTGTGTTTCCCTAGGCATATATGCACATATGTTTATATTTACCATGCAAGGAAATTATCGACTCAGCCCAAATTTCCACAAACGTCTTAGCAAAGAGTAGAAATGCCATGTTTGGAGTCAGAAAACCCTTGATTCAAATCCCAGTTCTGCCTCTTGCCAACAGATCCCAGTTCACAGCTCAGATCACAGGAGATCCCAGTTTGCAAGCCCTAGTGAATCTCACTTTACTGTTGCAAAGATTTTGATGATACATGATTTCTAAATTGCCAAGTACCACAGAGGACATTCAGTCAATGAGTGTTCCCTCCCATCCTCCGAGAGAGGTTGTAAGAGCTCTGGAAAGGGCTTTCAGACATTATTCCTGCCGTTTTCCAACTGGCTTCTCTGAAGGCCCCTCAGCCTGAGTGGGCGGGCTCTGGGTTCCCAGCCCTGATTCCTTTTCTTTGTTTTATATACTGGGGTTCTATATAAAATATAATTTGGAAACTACATGGTTTTACTGCTAATAAAAACCACTGAGCCAGTCCTCCCCTCATCTGTAAAACTGTAGAGGAGTGTGCTTTTTGCCCAAGGACACGAGGTGAGCTGGTGAAGAACACAGGCTCTGGATTTGGGGGTCAGTGCCCTTTCCACCCCTGCCTGTCCTTGACCTAAACTGATCTCTTTCAAGCTTTCGAGACCTCTAGTATGGCATCCTATGATTTTGTCCACAGGTCCCTTTTCCTATAAGCAATCTTTTCATGGTTCCGTAAGCCTCTGTCCCATCAAAGAACATTTAAGGAAGACCTGTCACTGTGCTCTGAGGATGTGGGGGGAGCGTCTTCCTTCCATCCAGAGGCGTCAAGACAAGCTGATGGTGTCTGGGGACAGCCAGCTGTGATCGTGACTGTGTTGCCATGGGCTGTGAGCGTTTTTTAGGGCAATGGTGGTCGTTTTTTGCCCCTCCCACCTCTCGCCCCCTCCCAAGGCTCTTTTTTGAAGCACCTGGCACTTCAAGTGCACTCAGTAAAGGTTGGTTGTGTTGAGTGAGATCAGAGACCTTAGGATAAGCAGGGGAGCTGGTCATTGTCATCCCCTGGGGACAGAGGTTAGCGGGCATCGGGACAGGCTTGTGCCCACTGGGCAAAGCTGTTGGGATGGGAACCAATTTGAGACGCTGCCCTCTTGCCAGCTGTCTTCCTCCTAACTCCCTTGGCTTAGTTTAGGAAGAATTAAGGAAGAAATATTAGTGCAGTGGCAAGGCTGGCCTTGTTGAAACCTGGCTGATATCTGCATGGAACATGGGAGCTCATTTAGGACTGGTCTGCTCGCCTCCTTTAAAATACTTTGTTTTCTTTCCAAACAACTCAAGGCCTAGGTGTGGAAGCATTTCAAACTGTGCACTGGGGCGGGCATACAGAGGTCGCTCTGTGTCTTCTTGGGAGAATGCACTATCTTGAAGCATTTATTCCAAGGAGCAGGTTTTGCCTCATTGTCTCTGGACAGAATTTTGGCTGAGGCCCAGGATGTTGGCTAAATGGATCCAGAGCTTCCCACCACTTACTGGGTTAGTAGACCCAAACTCCAACTCACTGCATGGGGAAAAAGAGAGTCCTAATTCATAAGTAACCAATAGCTATGCCGGAAAATGTCATTTTCCCACATTGCACATCTTTAAAAAATGTTAGTTTTTGGAAGGTAGAGTCTGATGTTTAAAACAGTCTTGAGTTGATAGCTGAAGATCTAGCTAAGTCCTAGGACTGTCTCGAGCATGAAGTCTCTGTGCCCTGGGTCAGGGATGGACATGTAGAGAAGCCTGGAAGGAATGTGGGCTGTCCTCAAGATGTTCCTCAACGGTTGCAACACAAATGGAAAAAAAAGAAAAAAACATACACTCTTAGACATAAACTTACCTTTCTTTGGGGCCTGCTTTCAAAAGGGGAATGCAGAAAAATGATCCTGTTAATGGAGGGTTCAGGTTAGTTGATGATTTCTTTCCTGGCACTGGGTGTGGTACAGGGTAGGAGCTGGGTGATTGTTTCAGTTGAATTGTGAGAGGAAAGATGTTAGGTTCTAGTCCAAGTGCTGGTCTGACCCGCCTGCAGAATCCTGAGGGCAACTTGCACGTGCGCTGGGGCCCTGCTCCCGGTCTATGATACAATATTATTGGCCAGCATCATCTTGGAGGTCTTAATAATTCCAAGAGCCAGTGCTCCTCTGGGCCCCTTCCTTTCCCTCAAGTCCCCCAGCCGGCCTACATGCACTGTGTTTATTTATAAACCGGGGCCGTATCCTCAAGGAAGTGAAAACATCAACCTAGATTTCGCTGCTGTTCTTCTGCCCTGGTCTTTGTTTATTAATCCTGGCTGCCTGCTGGGAAGTAGCTTTTGTGCACTTCCTCCTGCTGTGTCTTGTTTCAAGGGTAGCTGACAAGTGAGGGTCTCACCTGGTTATTAATGGCTCAGTTTTCCCCTTCCTTCTAAAGCTAGCTATCCTCTTTGTAGTGTGTATTGTGGGGGGGGGGGGGGGGGGGGGGGGGGGGGGGGGGGGGGGCGGAAGAGCCCTGGGAAGAATGAGAGAAGGCGGGTCAGACCCTCAGTAGCCACCTAGTGAGGCTGCCATTTTGTGTTGTGTATGTGTGTCGTGTGTGTGTGTATGTGTGTGTGTGTGTGTGTGTGTGTATTTTCCAAGGGATTTCAAGAGGCTTGGGGATGGGGTAGACTTGGCCGTGCAGTAGTCAGGGTATATGTTACCTTTGCAGTTTTATTGCCAACAATGAGCTGTGCACATGCCCAACCGGTGACCAGGATTCTTGGTGTCTGTGGGAATTTTTCCGAGAACCAACAGGACGGGGTTTGCATTTGGGCCATGAGAATATTTTCCTCTCACTTCAGGGCCTTGGGAAGGCCCTGATGGATTGGAAGATGGATAGTTACATACATACGGGTTTGTTCTGAACTCTCAGATCTCATCCGTCTTCACATAGAAGCACACTGTTTTCCCTCTGGGTTGTTTTAGTCACACCCAGGGCCTTTCCTTTGATTTTAGAGAAAAAGTAAATATAAAGGACCAAGTATCTGGCACACAGTAGGGGTGTCTGAAGGAATCTTGACAGTTAATCTGGTATTATAGGCCCTCAAGCATGACATATGTACCTAGACCAGGATGGCTAGTAGGTTTTATCTCTTTTAATTGATGGGAGGCTGCCTGGGACCTGTCTTGAGATGGGGTATGAAGCTGAGTTGGGCTCAGTGGGGAAGGAGACCCCTGAATTATTCGTGCAGGGATGATGGTAACGGGGGCACACATGTTGGCTCAGTATTTGCTCCCCCAGGACTTATTTGGTGGTCCAGTGTTTAAGACTCCGTGCTTCTGCTGCAGGGGGCGCTGGTTCAATCCCTGGTCGGGGAACTAAGATCCCACATACCGCATGGTGTGGCCAAAAAAAAAAAAAAAATTAAAAGTTTAAAGTATTTGCTCTCCCAAACTCGGCCTGTTCCTGATCACAGAAGGTCTGTCCCACTGTCAGAGTTTTAAGAAGCTTCCCTAAGTTAGTAGACAGGAGGAGCATCCTTTAACTGAGTTAACATCCCCTCCTGACACCCTGCCCCCACCAGGCTTTGTCAGTCACCTGGCAGTTCTAGGCCATAGGTACCTCCTTGACGCCAGCACAGGGAGCTGTC